TTCATTTTCTAATAGCTTGTTTTCCTCGTGACTGTAAAGAGGCATTTAATCAAAGTAATACATGCAGTGGAGTATATACTATTAAACCTGATGAATTACCAGCTTTTAAGGTAACACAACACAATACTATGCATATTAGTGTTTTATTTTTGTGCTCAACAGGTTTACTGTGATATGAGTAATGGAGGTGGCTGGACTGTATTTCAAAGAAGAATGGATGGCACTGTTAACTTCTATCTCAAATGGGCCGACTATGTTAAAGGATTCGGAGACCTCAATGGAGAGTTTTAGCTGGGACTTAATAATATATACCGGCTGACAAAAAGCAGCACTAGCCTTCGTATTGACTTGGAAGATTTTGAAGAGAATAAGAGGTATGCCACTTATACTAGCTTTGAAGTAGGAAATGCAGCCACGCAGTACCTACTGACTGTATCAGGTTATGGAGGTAATGCTGGTGATGGTATGGCATATCACAATGGAATGAAGTTCACAACATATGATTACGACAATGACACTGGCACAGGAAATTGTGGACTTATCTGTAGTGGAGCATGGTGGTACAAATATTGTCATACCGCTAATCTCAATGGTTTATATTTAGTGGGTAGTCACACTTCATATGCTAATGGTGTCAACTGATATCCTTTTAAGGGGTTCTACTATTAAGGTAACACCATACTTTTAACAGATAGTGTTTTTATTTCAATGCTCAACAGGTTTACTGTGATATGAGTAATGGAGGTGGCTGGACTGTATGTCAAAGAAGAATTGACAGCACTGATCTCAAATGGGCTGACTATGTTCAAGGATTTGGATGTTTAAAGAGAGTTTGGCTCGGACTTAATTAAACTTACAAGAAGCAGCACTAGCTGTTGTATCATTAAAGGAGCAAAATGAGGTATACATAATTATCATTCCTAACAATATTATCTCTGCCCCTCTCCTCTCTCTCTCCTCTATTCCACTTGAGTCCCAGTGATTCAGTACTTGCAGAGTATATTAAGAGGACACACTGTAAGAGACGAGTGTTTCACACCTAAGAGAAAATACAGAGATGAAACGAGCTCTCAAAACTACAAATAGTATTCTCTCTGGACATTATGTTAGAATGAACTTGCGACAAAAATGAATATTAAATTAAATTTTGTTTTCCAAAAAATAATGTTTATTTAAATCAATTTTAAATAAGCGTCAAATTACAAAAAAAGAAAAATAACTGCAAAACTAGAATCAGGTTACCATTAAATAGTGTCATTTAGTTCAGTTATAATATAATTCATTGTTGGACGGTATCTATACTCAACTATCAGGCAGCGTTGAACAAGAGACCTAAATGAGGCTCTTCTAATACCATCAATAAGACCTACTCTCTCTTCTGGTAGAGGAATACGTCGTGTTATCATCTCTAGAAGGAGGACACCATAACTGAAGACATCCATTGAAGGAGAGTGTTCCCTTGGATTGGCTGCTTCAGGTGCTGAATAGACAGGATTACCAGGATTAGTGGTCCTACCAATGAGAGGTTGAAGATTAGCTGATCCATAATCAGATACTTTAGCTTTCCATGCACCTCCCATTGGCTGAAGGAGTACATTAGCACTGCTGACATCTCTATGTAGTATAGGATGAGGCTTGAAGAGATGAAGGTAATTGAGAGCACAGGCTACATCTAAACTGATACGTAATATTTCAGGATAGGCCAGTCCTCCAACCTCTAATTCCTTTCTTAGGCTGGTCGGCATTAGCTCTGTCAGGATGATTGGATTACCCTCTGTAGTGGCTCCTATGAACTGAAGGAGGTTAGGATGGCGTATTTTAGAAGCAATATTCATTTCACGAGAGAACAATGAAATATTATATTCTGATATGATAGTTTCATGAAGTACTTTTGCAGCAACTTTCAGTCCATGGAAACGAGCTACTCTGACCTCTCTCCATCCTCCTCTGCCTAGAATCCTTTCTGTCATTCTAATATCATTTCTGTCAACTACCCAGGAAGACTCTCTCTCTTGTCTATCTCTCTCTCTTAGTTGCTGCTCTAGGCCTCTCTCTCTTTCTTGACTTTCCTGAAGCTGTTGCTGAGCTTGTTGAAGCTGTCGTTGAAGATCCTGTTCCCTTTGCTGGCCACCTTCTAATTGCCTTTGGAGCTGTTGCTCTCTTTCTTGAGATTCCCTTTCTATTGATTGAAGTTGCCTCTCTCTTTCTCGTCCTTGTTGCTGAGCTTGTTGGAGCTGTCGTTGAAGAGCCTGTTCTCTTGCCCCACCTTGTTGAATTTCCCTCTGAAGCTGTTGCTCTCGTTCCCTGCTATGTTGAATTTCCCTGTCCTTTTCTTGTCTTTGTTGCTCTGATTTCTGTTCTCTTTCTTGAAGTTGCTCATCTCTTTCTTGAAGCTGTTGTTGAAGATCCTGCTCCCTTTCCCTGGCCTGCCTCTCTCTTTCTTGTCCTTGCTGCTGTGCTTGTTGAAGTTGTTGTTCTCTTCCTTGAAGTTGTTGCTGTAGTCTATTTCTAAGTTGTTCCTTTTCTTTTCTCTCCACCTGTAGTTTCCTTTCCCTTTCTTGTAGTACACGTGTCAGACGGTCTATTTCTCTTCTATCCTCAGGTTGAACAAGTTGAGGTGCTTCCCATTCTCTTCTCCTTTCTTGTAGTTTCTCTTGATACTGGTCCAGAGGTACTTTACTAGTATACCACTCATTATTACTAGCATATCCTATACAGTAACACAATAGTTGAATTAATGACATTTACTTGTACATGTATAATAATAATATGTGCTACTACTGTACAGTGGAAAGTGCAAATTATTAATTAAATTCATCTATATAATTGGGGCGAGCCTGAGTGAGCCCACATAAACAAGACAAGTATGTTTGTCTGTATACGTACGTCACCCCTATTTATGCGTAATACGGTAAATGCTATGCATTAACAATGCAATATAAATTCAGTTTTCAATATTTCATTAAAACTGGGAGTGGCCACAAGAAAATAAAATGGCAACTAATACACGGGAAGATGTCATGACTTGTCTAGCAGCAAAATAAGACAGAAGTTCCGTCCAAAGGCTTCTCCAACAGCCAGACAAGGTTATAGATGCAATAAAGTAACTATAAAACTCGTCTTTGTTGATAACTCGACTTACTGTGATCATACTACTGCCCAAATGCAGCAAGGAAGGTTAAGAAAGCAGATATACCATCTTCTTTACATGTGAATGACTCTGAATAAGTGAATGTCAGTCACAGCCTGAACTAACTTGGACTGTATTGCTACAACTGCCTATCTAGCCATATCATTTATTTCTTGAATGCTAAAATTTAAATTTAATGACAACTAAAGGCAGATCAAGAATCACACTCCATCATATTCTGAGGTGTTTAAGATGCAAAATCCATGCATGAGTATTTTAGTCTATCAACATCTATTGTATGTACATTGCTTTGCTTGCGTAGGCTCACCCCTTCAATGTTTTACATTTGTCTAGTTATTCTGCATTATTATGTCAGTTAAGAGAGCAAATCTGGTGAAATAATATCATATACCAAAAGGCTATACTGCTAATTTATAATTATTATATTTAATATGTACAAAATTGGGCTCCTAATTGTGTATATTCAATACATTTGTATTTACAGTACATGTACTCACTGAGTGCAATAACTGCTGTATCTCTGTGTGATGTGTCTCCTCCAAACACAATTATCCAGTTAGTGGTTGGAGTCACACTCCACAATGATAAAGAATGAAAACATCTGTTAATGACATTCTTTGGTCTATTAAACTATAAAGGAGGATTATAATAAATATAAATTCATTGCCACGTACTGTACACGTACATTGTACATGTACAGGTCCAAGATGTCTAAACCACACCCAAAATATAATGTTATACTTACCAGTTTCTTCCATAATTTATTTTTAACATCAAATATCCAAAGATAATAAGTACAATATCCACCCGCCACTAGTAGGTGTGGTCCTGAGCTAGTGTTAATCAATACACTGGAATGACCATATCTTCCTTCAGGCCATTGTACTGATCCTTCAGGATTAGATAACTTTAAACAATTCTGAAATAATAAATAAAATTTAATTATTATAGATTATGTCCCAACTGATTTTGGACCAAAAAACTGGAATAACTTTTTATAAAAATGTGGGGTAAGGATGAAACTTCCACAGGTTCTTAGTTGCCCAATGCCACTTCAGGATCTCAGGTTTTGGGTCTCTCAGCCCTTGAAAACCCTGAGAACCAGTTTTTCCCTATAAACCAAATGGCATACCAAAGCTAACCACAATGATGTTTTATGGTGTCATAGTATAAATAAACACATGTGATCACAGCCAAAATATCAGCCATGTCTCTATGACTATCATTATAATATGTCATCAGTGATGTAAACACATTTTCAAATTCCTCACAGCTGCTTCCACTTCTGGTCCAAACTGAGTTGGGACATAGTATACACCACATCCATACACACACACACTCATGAATAAGTACATTAATTAACAATTACAATCTATATACAGTAATAATACACTCACCACTGATGTATCAGTAAAATCAAGAATAAATACATTGCTACTGTCTCCATTAGCAGCCTCACCTCCAAATAATATAGCACTGGAATTATTAATTGATGTTAAAGTGAAGGCAGTAAGAGGAGGTGGTCTGTCTCCAGTGATAGTTGGTGGTATCCAATCACCTAAAATAGTAAAT